AGGCCACCGGAGGCCTGCTGTGACTGTGTATAAATTCACAGCCACGTGTCCTTTCTCCACAAACCCTGGCGAGAAGGCGGCTTTGTGAGAATCTTCTGGTCCACTAATCTTCACTTAGTCCCCCTCCCCGAAGCACATTGTCACCTGGCGTCCCTGCTGACAGGCCCACGGTATGTGTCCTTCCGAGTGACCGGCCCTGACGTCAAGCTGGGGCTTTGAAAGGAAGGACCAGTCCTGGCAGCTCCACAAAGGGGACGTGTGCCAGGAGTGTAATGAAACCACTTCCGTCCTGACTCCCCAGGCTGGCAGTGGCCGGGACGAGGGACACAGGGCAGCCGAGCGGTGCCCAGCTCCGGCATGGCAGGGCCATGGCCTCTGCCCTGGCTGTGTGCCGAGGGCTTGGTGTGCAGACGCCTGCTCTGATTCTTTCCAGGCCCTGGGAGTGTAAGATGAGGAGGCAGGGGACCACTGAGAGGCCATGAACAGAAGCTGGCTGGGGTCACCTCGTTTTGCCAAAAGCAGCGGGCAGCCACCTTCACGAAGCACTGAACCCTGGGCTCCCATTGCCACCCCACCTGGTCTATGGCATACTGACGCTTACCGTCTCATCCATTGCTTCCAGGTGATTTCCAGCCTGACCTTGTAGTTAGGAAGTGAACAATGCCAGAAGTTTTCAAGAAAGCAACAAAGGCTCAGAGGCTTGCGTGAGTGTCTCCAAGACGCTCAGCTGGGAGGGTGGGAGCCCGGCTTTTGCAACAGGACTTCTGATCTTCCTTCTGTTAGCATGCCTTCCCGATGGATGCCTAGCGAGGTACCTGGAGGGTGGCCCGTCCTGTCCTCGGTGCGGGAGAGGCCTCTGACTGCGTTCTCTGAGGCCTCTCACCCTCTTTCCACGTTAGCAACCAACAAGTGGGTTTATGGGATTTAAAAACATCGCAATGAAATCCAAAGGGGGGGTTACTTAAAGGCTGGGAGAAAGGACTCAGTGGACCCAGGCACCTGCTGCCCTCCCCAGCTGGGGTGCCGGCCGTCACCAAGTGAGACGTTGACCCCCACTTTACAAAGGCAGAATCCTAGGTGACGGGGTGACAGGGAATAAATGATCGAATTTCTCTCAGGATACTTGAAAATTTGAAGACCCAAAGCTTCCTCCTTCGATGAAAGCAGTTGAGGACTTCATGTGAAATTCAGGTTTCTCTCAGCCATAATTTTTCATCATTAAAGGGTTCTGAGATGCCGATGTGTTATTTCACGTTGAGAATCTTACCTTCAGACGGAGTCTGAAAATGATCCCTCCAGCTGGCAGCTGGTGACATCCCTGACCCTGCAAGGGACCAGCCCGGTCCCCAGAGACATTACTGTGTCGGAACCACTGCTTTTATAAAAAAGGATATGTGTTCATTATAGGAAAAAATAGGCTGGTGGAGTGGTTCAAGTGGTAGAGCGCCTGTCTAGGAAGCATGAGGACCTGAGTTCAAACCCCAGTGCCGCCAAAAGAAAAAATATCCAAAATACAGAAAAGCCAGAGTGTGTGTGTGGGGGGGGGGCACTAAACAGCCGATCTTACCACCCCAAGATTACCACTGTGAATATTTAAATAAATTTTATTCTGTATGTGTAAAGTACAAATGCAAACCTGTATGTAAACACTGAGTCCTCTTAAAGATTTTATTAAAATGTGTTGTTTTGTGACCATCTGTATCCCCTAAATATAAATTTCTTTACCATTTTAAATATTACCATTTTGTCCCATTATACAGATTTACTACATATTTATTTAGTTACTTTTACATTTTGAGGCTGGGTGTGGTGGCACACGCCTATAATCCTAGCTCCTAGAGGCAGAGATAGGAGGATCATGATTTGAGGCCAGCCTTGATCCCTGAGGCAAACAGGTGTCAAGACCTCTCATCTCAACCAACAAGCCGGGCATAAGGTGGCAAGCGTTTAATATCCCAGCTATGGGGGAGGCATACATAGGAGGCTAGCCCAGGGCAGAAACACCAAACCCTAAATGAAAAATATACTAAAAAGGGCTGATGGACTGCCTCAAATGGTAGAGTGCCTGCCTAGAAACTGCAAGGCCCTGAGTTCAAACCCCAGTGCCAAAAAAAAAAAATACACAGAAGAATTACCCCAGCTTAGTTACCGTCTGCCACCTCAGGAAGCCCTTCTTCTGGAAGCACTTTGAGTAATCAGCACCCGGCACATGGTATCATTTGAGCCACACTACCCCTCTCTAACAGTGATCTGCCCAGTACCCGGCACCCGACGTCCTGCCCTGCTCAGGACGGGCACACTCCCATCTTTGTCTCTCTCCATCTGCTGCCCACCACAAGGCTTGGCACACCACAGGGCACCCAAGGAACATCTGCTCTGTGAGTGAATGGATAGACAGATAGAGGATGAATGGATGGGTGGGTAGGTGGATGGGTGGATGGATGGATGAGTAGATGGACGGACAGACAGGTGGATGGATGGATGGATGGATGGATGGATGGATGGATGGGTGGATGGATGAGTGGGCGGACAGACGGATGGATGGATGAGTGGATGGGTAGGTAGATGGATGGATATGTGGATGGATGAGTGAGTGAGTGGGTAGATGGATGGATGGGTGGGTGGGTGGGTAGACAGATGGGTGGATAGATGAGTGGGTGGACGGATGGATGGATGGATGGGTGGATGGATAGATGGATGGGTGGATGGGTGGATGGATGGATGGGTGGATAGATGGATGAATGGATGGGTGGGTGGGTGGATGGGTGGAGGGCATCATAGAATCAGCAAGTTGCAGAGGCCGTGTTCGTTCTCAGTTCAGTTTAGACATTGTCACAAGGGCCTATCAAGGTGTTCTGAGTTTTTGTGCTTCTGTAAGTCTTGATCACAACTGCAAATCTTGCACATTGAAAAGCCTGCTCAAAACCAAAGGCCAGGAGGAGACTGTTTGCACACTAGGGCCTCTGTACCTCTTCCAGTGCCCCCCACTCCAGCCCCATCTTAGGACTGGAGTTACGTTATGACGCCCCTGCCCTGCAGCTGCAGGATGCCTGTGATACGGCTCTTTTGAACTGCTTCAACATGGTTGCTTAGTTTTGTCACCGTAGTGTGGTTTGCGAGGGTCATGTGGGGTGCCGTTACTATTGATGGTAAAAACAATATAGAGGAATTACAAGAAATTTTGGGACAAAAGTCACTCAAATGCCATCAACTATCAAGGCAGCTTTTTCTTTTTCTCTTTTTGGTGGCACTGGGGTTTGAACTCAGGGCCTCACACTTTCAAGGTAGGCGCTCTAACACTTGAGCCACCCCACCAGCCTTTTTTTTGTGATGGGTTTTTGGAGATAAGGTCTTGGGAACTATTTGCCCAGGCTGGCTTCAAACCATGATCCTCCTGATGTCTGCATCCTGAGTAGCTGGGATTATAGGCATGAGCTACAAGCACCTGGTTGTATTGGGTTTTATTTTTGTGCTGTTTCCCCACTTTATTTTTTATCTTTTCCATTAATTTTTTATTAGAATATGTTAATTTTCAGGGGGATTCATTGTGACAATTCCAAATAGTCTCATATTATACATTGGTTAGATCACCCCCATCGTCTCTCCCCCTCAACCCCCATCCCTGCCCCACTTAAAGCAATTGCAAAAGGTTTCTTTGTTCTGTTTCATAGAAGTGTGTGAAGCCCATCCACCATATTCCCTCACCTCCATCTCTTTTGTTCATCCCCCCCCACCTACAAGTGCCCCCCTCCACCTATACCTATTTTACAGAACTGTCTTTTGTTATTAACATTTAAGTTGAAGTTCAAAGGCGTTTCTCAATGTGTCCTTGCTGTGCGTCCACTTTACTTTGGTCCGTTCAGCCCTTCCATTGCTCTCCCTCACCCTTTACCTCCCAGCCCCCATTTTTCATGTATTTTTAAGATAGGGTCTCACAAACTGTTTGGCCCACCTGGCCTCAAACCGTGATCCTCCTGATCTCTGCGTCCTGAGTAGCTGGGATTACAGGTGTGAGCCACTGGCTCCTGGCTGCTCTTTTTCTTTTTGCTTGATCCCCTCCAGACTTTATCCCTGTGCCCACCTGTACTATCCTGGCTGTTGTCACCTGGAGCAGTCAGCACTGTTTCCTGCCCCTCTAAGCTAATTTTTCCTGCCCATTTTTCTGCATAGCCTTGGTATTTGACATTTTAATAAGCCCATAATCCTCCCTTGAGTGGAAAAACCAAAATGCTCTCACCTGGTCCCCAGCACTGGCCGACAACGGTTCTGATTCTCCCCTTGTCTACACCTGGGCAGCAAGACTCGCGACGCAGGTCACTTTGGTGTCTGCGGCCGGTTTCCCTGGGATGCTGCTGTCCCTTGCACAGAGTTGCCAGGCCTGAGTCGGGTCGCGTGGGAAGCCTGGGCCGCACTGGGCCGCACTGGGCCTCCGCAGCGAGCCGGTTTCAGGATGACCTCGTCAGCATAAGCCACGTTTAAATGTTTTATCTGCTAATTTAGTAGCACTGAAGTGGCCCTTCTGTCTTGCCTCATTTTGATTTCTTTGGTTATTAAAGGGAATTAGCGTTCCTTCCCCGTGGCTACTGTTTGTGTTTCTTTGGAAGTGAGTCGCCTGAGGTCTTTGCCTGTTTTACTAAATTGCAGTCTTTGTTTTTCCTTTTGTAAATCAAACCGAGCGGAATCTTCCCTCGAAGTAACCATTAATACGTTTTCCAGAGTTCCCTGTGTCGTTTGCCTTTTAATTTCCGATTATTTATTTGTGGCATAAAAATGCGTGTTTTTGTCATCAAGTCTGTCACTGTTTTCTTTCCTGTTGCTTTGAGGCTTGGGAAGCTCTCCTCCCTCTGCGGAGATGATAAATATTTAATCCCACCTTCTGTTATTGTAAATTCTTTATTCATCTGGAGTGCATTCAGTAGGAAGGGAGTCACAAGTCACTTTTTTTTTTTCTTCTAAATTGCTCATCAGCTATTCCAACCTTCTGTTCCTCTGTGCCTCAGGCATCATCCACCAGATGAAAGGTGACTATGACGCCGCCCTGAAACTCCACAAGGCCCACCTGTGCATCGCCCAGGAGCTCAGCGATTACGCCGCCCAGGGCCGCGCTTACGGGAACATGGGCAACGCGTACAACGCCCTGGGCCTGTTCGACCAGGCGGTCAAGTTCCACCGGCAAGAGCTGCAGATCTCCCTGGAGGTCAACGACCGCGCCTCTCAGGCCTCCACACACGGCAACCTGGCCGTGGCCTACCAGGCCCTGGGCGCCCACGACCGGGCTCTGCAGCACTACCAGAACCATCTGCACATCGCCCGGGAGCTGAGGGACATCCAGAGCGAGGCCCGGGCACTCAGCAACCTGGGCAACTTCCACTGCTCCCGGGGGGAGTACGTGCAGGCTGCCCCCTACTACGAACAGTACCTGCGCCTGGCTCCCGACCTGCAAGACATGGAAGGCGAGGGGAAGGTCTGCCACAACCTGGGCTACGCACACTACTGTCTGGGGAACTACCAGGAGGCTGTGAGGTACTACGAGCAGGACCTGGCACTTGCCAAAGACCTCCACGACAAACTGAGCCAAGCCAAAGCCTACTGCAACCTGGGCCTCGCCTTCAAGGCCCTGCTGAACTTCAGCAAGGCCGAGGAGTGCCAGAAGTACCTGCTGTCTGTCGCCCAGTCTCTGAATAACTTCCAGGCCAAATTCCGGGCCCTCGGGAACCTGGGGGACATATTCGTCTGCAAGAAGGACATCAGTGGTGGGATCAAATTCTACGAGCAGCAGCTGGGCTTGGCTCACCACGCAAAGGACAGGAGGCTGGAGGCCAGCGCCTACGCGGCCCTGGGCTCCGCCTACCGCACGGTCCAGAAGTACGACAAGGCCTTGGGTTATCACACGCAGGAGCTGGAGGTCTACCAGGAGCTGAGCGACCTGGCCGGGGAGTGCCGCGCTCACGGCCACCTGGCCGCGGTCTACATGGCCCTGGGACATTCACAATGGCCTTCAAGTGTTACGAGGAGCAGCTGGATCTGGGGCAGAAGCTGAAGGACCCGAGTCTGGAAGCCCAGGTCTACGGTAACATGGGCATCACCAAGATGAACATGGCCGTGATGGAGGAGGCCATTGGTTACTTCGAGCAGCAGCTGGCGACCCTGCAGCAGCTCAGCGGAAACGAGTCGGTGCTGGACCGGGGCCGGGCCTACGGCAACCTGGGGGATTGCTACGAGGCCCTGGGTGACTACGAGGAAGCCATCAAACACTACGACCAGTACCTGTCTGTTGCCCAGAGTCTGAACCGGATGCAAGACCAAGCCAAGGCTTACCGGGGCCTCGGAAATGCACACAGGTGAGGTGACAAAGGACCAAAATGGGGAGACAAGCAAGGCCTGCAAAACAGGGCTTCCGTGACAGTCGTGGCCGTTGCGTGTCTCTGTGGCAGCTGGCTGACTGCAAGGCGTCTTTCACATCCTCCAGCTGATTGGTGCAATGATTCTTCGAATTAAGTAGGAGATATTATTCCCCTTACGGGAGGGAAGAAATAAGGCAAAACCCAGAGAGGGTGGTTCTTGCCTGAGTTCACACAGCTTGCAAGAGGAGCTGCGAGTCGAGCCAGGGTGCCCTAGTTCCAAATGAACTGCATTTTTGTTAATTTTTATTTTTGACTGCGTTAAGATGAGCAGAATCAAGTTGTGAACAGATTAGGAAGGCGAAGGATGCAGTGAACCGATCTTTTCCGGGTCACTCCAGTGTTTATTAGCGCAGCCCTCGGTACCCACCGATGACTTGGACCCTGTTACGGTGCTTCTAGGAAAAGCCATCTGCTAACTTGTCCCAGGATGGCTATCTGAATAGTCACAGCAGTCCTGTGTTACTGTGCCAAGGGAGAGGGACCCATGTGCCCTACACAGCTCATTTGATCTGCCACCCGGCCCAAGGCTTTTCCCCCTCTGAGCGTGTCACCTCTGTGACGACCCAGTGTTGCTGGCCAAAGGGTGCTGTCCTCCCAGACACGGGGAACCCGCGAAGGCGCCCCTGTCTGCAGAATGTACGCCCTCACCAGAGAGGATGAGGTCTCCCCGAGTGGAGGGAGGGCGGGCACCCCCGGGTGCTGCAGAAACTCTGGGTGAAAGATTTATAGCCACTGGAAAGTGACTTCAAAACCATAGTCTTAAGCGGTAGTAGAAATCGGGAGGCCCGAGGAAGCAAGCCGTTCACCCGCCATCATTGTACCTATTAGTGTATTTTATGTGTCCCCGGGGTGAGCATCCCGTGGAATGGCCAGCTCTGGGGAAGGTCACCGCACGATGACTTCTGAATTGCTTTCCAGTTTATGAAATTCCTCTGCATCTCACACTAAGGGCACGCGATAGATCTTAGCTGGGAGAGGAGTTAGAGCTCTTATAGCGAGTGACAGTGACAAATGCTTTTCATTTTCTCGGGGGCTTTTGCGGGCCCGCACCTGCAGGGAATGATTTCATTGCGTTTCTGTCTGCTCCCCGCAGGGCGATGGGAAGCCTGCAGCAAGCCCTCGTGTGCTTGAGAAGAGGCTGGTGGTGGCCCACGAGCTCGGGGAGGCCTTCAACAAAGCCCAGGCCTACGGCGAGCTGGGGAGCCTGCACAGCCAGCTAGGGAACTACGAGCAAGCCATTTCCTGCCTGGAACGCCAGCTGAACCTTGCCAGGGAGATGAAGGACCGGGCCCTGGAGAGTGACGCGGCCTGTGGCCTGGGGGGCGTCTACCAGCAGATGGGGGAGTACGACAGAGCCCTGCAGTACCACCAGCTCGACCTGCAGATCGCAGAAGAAACCAATAACCCCACGTGCCAGGGCCGGGCCTACGGGAACCTGGGCCTGACCTACGAGTCCCTAGGCACCTTCGAGAGGGCCGTGGTCTATCAAGAACAGCACCTGAGCATAGCCGCCCAGATGAACGACTTGGTGGCCAAGACGGTGTCCTACAGTAGCCTTGGGAGGACTCATCACGCCTTGCAGAACTATTCGCAGGCAGTCATGTACTTACAGGAAGGTAGGTGACAAGGCCCAGGGTGGCCTCTCCACTTGAGGCTCAGGGAAAATACAGTTTGAGCTGCCACCTCTGTGTGGAGTGGACTGAGGGTCTCACAGGTCACATCGCCCAGTGTTACAGTGTCCCTTACCGCCAGGTGTTCCATTGTCCAGAACACCTGGCCAAGCTCTCTGCATCCCAGTTGTCTTGCTCTCTCCGGGACGGCATAGGCCACTTGTGAGCTGTCCCAGGGGCTGAACCCCTCCTGGCTTGTGAGATGCTCACACAGAGGATCTGATCGGTGACACCACAGGGTCACAAGAAATGCCCACGGAGTCCTGTTGTCCCTCCAGAAAACACCACACTTCAGTTCTGACATGACAGCTGACATGACACCCGAGGTGTCTGGCAGTCACGGCAGTGGTCAGCCAGGCGTCCCCACCCCCCACCCAGTGCCATCCCCATGGCTCCTCTTCCTCTGCCGTTGTACCCCAGTTACCTGGGCACAGAGGGGCCTTGGACGTGCCCTTCTTTACGCTGGGGTGGCAGGCATGCAGCTCCCTCCCACCTCTAAGGCGGGGACAGTGTGACACCCTCCACCGGCTGGTGAAAAGAAGTGGTTGCCATTTCAAGCAAAAACTCTCACTTTGAGGGTTTGCGTATGTAGTTTATTTAATCTGATTGAATTCCTGCAGTAACCTTGCGAGGGTGTCTTCTCATTAATTACTTTATTTTTGCCGTGTGTGCTCGACACTCGCTGCTGCCCCATCCAGAGGTGCCTGCTTGTTCCTGTCCTTGCAGCTAAGTCACCTGACACGCCGATCCTGACCTTGAGCTGGTTGGTCAGAGTAAGGCTCAGTCTGGGGTTTCTGACCCCAGGAACCACACAGGACCCTGCCCGGAGATGCTTCTTAGCTCACAGGCACAGCTCAGGGTTGCACAGCTGGACCCCATTACCCCTGGCCCCAGCTGGGACACCTAGAGAACAGGTGACAAGGTGAGAGGCCGATGCTCCCGGTCTTGCTTGGCTGAGCAGGCCCAAAGCACCATTCCTGTCCACAGGTGGCCTCTGCCTCGTGCACTGGACACTTTCGATGGTGGCTTTTGGTTTCCCGAACCTCAATTGTGGTAAAATTCCAGCAGACTCAGGGTGTTTTCAGTTGAGTTTGTGACACGCTGTTCAACTCAGGCCAGCATCTGACTGTTTCCTCGTGGTCTGTAGCCTTCCTGAAACGCTGTCTCCATGCAACAGCTGGCTGGCCTGAGACGCTGTAACAATTCTGTCTTTGTGGAAAACTGTCCGGGTCATTTTTATTGCTTCCTGTAGTCTTGTGGAGCCCTCGTAGCATCTCCATGGCTGTGTTCTCTGGAGAGCCCGCAGCCCATGTGCGGACACCGGGTGCCTCTCGTGACCTCTGGGCTGGCTCAGGTGCAAGGCACCTGGACAGTGCTTTTGGGGCACCCTGAGTTGGGTCCACAGCCTCTTGCAGTGGAGGGACCAGTTTAGGTGACACTCACCCGGACTCTGCTTTCAGAGGGGAGAGGATTGTGACTCGGTCCGACCCAGGGCAACCGATGTCACAGGGGTGCAGGTCTGAGTCGCTCAAATAATTTCAGCAGGGGACTCGGGTGGGTGGCTCTGGTCGGAAGCCACTGCTTGTCCTCAAGGGAGACGAGAGTTTCGTGCATTCCCTTGGGGGCCTCGCAACCTCAGCCCGGGATTGCTGGGGAGCCTGGGTCAGGCTCCTGAGAGCCCACCGCACACTGAGGCTGGGTGGCTCAGGTCCCACACCCCGCACAGCAGAGCGAACCCTTCACAGCTGGGTCCCGGGCTGATGGCCAGCGGGCGTCCTCCAACCCTGCTCTTCCAGACATGCTTGTGGCAGGCGGCAGGGGGACTGGTTTGCCCAGGGAGTTGTACTTGTGACTCAGGGCCAGGCCTGGCGGGACGTGTGCCTTGAGCAGTGTGGCTCCCCGCTGAAGGTGAGCGCCCTGTGTGTTCCAGCTTCCCTGTCACATCTTCGTGTGAATTACTTGCAAATATTTTTGTTAGCCTAGGGACTGAAACTCAAAGCACCGTCTCTGAGCTTCTGACTCGTGTGCGTTTTGAAGTGCGCACTGTTTCAGCACTGCTTTTGTCAGTCTCTTGGCTGACTCAGGTCTCTTTTTGGAGGTCAGCAATTGCACAGGCCCGGCATGCTCAGCGGTGGCTCCCAGGGCCCTCATTAGATGTAAAGGAGGCTGTGTCTTCAAACGTGCGGTTTGCAGGACCCCCCCCCACCCCCGCTGTCTCCCGCACAGGCTGGCTGCTCTGTACAGAAGGCGCTGTAATGAGGGCACGGTGAAGCTGAGATCGGCTTAGCGACCAAGACAATAAACGGCTGCCTTCAGATCTGGCTCCCACAAAGCCCTAAAGGTGGCTAGTGTCCTGAAACCTAGAAGCTCGCTGTGGGTAGGTGACCCGCACGGCAGGCGCCCGTCTGAAGACCATTCAAGTGAGGACAGGCTCATTTAAGACGGTCCACTCCTAAGAGCACTTTGTCGCAGCCCCGCTGAGACACTTCAGAGCCCAGGCTTAAAGGAAAGGCAGATTGGGCACAGAAGGGGTCGCAGTATTGGTGACAGAGGCCAGTCAGGCTGTGCGCGCACGCACGCGGCTTTCGGGAGAGCCTCGCCGGGTCCATCAGCACCGATCGGACACTGGACCGCTCTCGAGATAGGAAGAAGTGTCACCTCAGCTGCTGCACTTGACCGTCAGGAAAATCTGTTGCCAGCCTGAGGATCAGGGGAGAGAAATTTATCAGCAGCAGTTTTCCTTTGCGACTCTAAGGGTTTCGCATCCAGGAGGGCAGCTAGGTCAGGTTCCATTTGTCTCTGCCTTGCAAGTCTGTCCCCTGCTGTCACCGTCGCCTGAGCTCCTGCTGGGCATCTCCCCAGTGTCCAGGACACAGCTGTGCCACTGTGGAGTCTGACGGGGACGCTTGTCCTGCCTCTGCAGCCGATTCGGCTGGCGTCCCGCGTCCCCACTCACCTTCTGGAAGCGTGCTAACGTTCTTCACGTCCACCTGAAGCAAGATCTCTTTCCAGGACTCTCAGTCCTCTGTGTGTCTTTAAATTTCTCTTTCCGATTTCAGGTTTAAGGTTAGCCGAGCAGCTGGGACGAAGAGAAGATGAGGCAAAAATTCGTCATGGGCTTGGCCTGTCCCTGTGGGCCAGTGGAAACCTAGAGGAAGCCCAGCACCAGGTGAGAGCTGAACCGGGCGCGCGCACCTCCCAAAGCCGGAGGACCCCGGATTCCTGTCCTAGCTGTGCTTGGCACACACGCTGTCCAGCCTGGCCTAGCCAGAACTGCGAGCCCCGATAGAGTTGTCCGGAGTGCCCTTGGATTTCCCGTGGGTTTCTAGTCGCAGCGATGGAGACAACCCCACTGTCCTCCCTGACAGTAATGTGTCCCCGTTTCTGCTTTGCACTTGAGCCACTGAAGAGCCACCCGTTGTCACAGAGGCTCTGGGAAGTCGGAGGATCCCTGGCCTCCCCTGCTGGACAGGAGGAGTGCGGAGCCGGCCCTTCTGAGCTCACACTCACCCCTTAGCAGCGTGAAGGGTCACTGTGGGCTCTGCCAGGCGCAGGGGACCAAGGAGAAGCAAACTGAGGCTGTGTCCCACAGGTGCCCACGAGGCGGGAGAGCCCAGTGACACTGAGCGTGTGCCAGCCTCCTGGAACAATGTCACACTGTGCTCTGAAGATGATTAAAGTCAACTGGAAGAATTAATTCTGTCATTTCCTAGTTGTGGAAACTAAAACTTTTTATCAGTGTAGTGATTGGTCACTTTCAGAGTACTTTCTCTCATTGGGTTCATTCCTCAAAGTACCCTGGGACGTCAGCTGACAAGCGTCCCCTTGTCAAGGTGACGACTCTGAAGTCACAGGACACACGAGGGAGAGGGTTGGGAGCACACCCCTCTCTCGCTGTCTCCTGGCCTGAATCCTCGTCCTACGAGTCTTTCTGAGTTTGGATGAACTCAGAGCCGCAGGCCGGGGTCTCCCTCTGGCCCTGGAGTGAGTGGGTGGGTGCAGCTGCCCTGGGAGCCTGTCCACAAAGGCCTGGCCTTTAGTGGGCTCCACAGTGCTGGGCACCTGCAAAAGGTGACAGTGGGGCTGCCTCTGTCTCACTGTCCCAGCCTCGTCTGGCCTCTAACTGGTGGGACACTGGTGTGAGGAGATGGGTGACGTTCTCTGCTCTCCTTACAGCTTTACAGGGCATCAGCCTTGTTCGAGACCATCCGGCACGAGGCGCAGCTGAGCACGGACTACAAACTCTCTCTGTTCGACCTGCAGACGTCTTCCTACCAGGCCTTGCAGCGGGTGCTTGTCAGTTTAGGTGAGATGCGTCTGAGCCGCTTAGCGACGGTTGTCACTTAAGACTGAACCCCACACACACCCAGTTGTCGACATCCATTTGTTTATTCAGCGAAGGTTTGCAGAGGGCCTGCCAACATGCAGAGTGCCAGCCCTGGGGACCGTAGTGAGGACATTCTTAGCCCGGGGAGAGACACAGGCAGTGAGTCCTCAGCTAAGGTGAAAAACCTGGGGACCTAGACCCCGGGGAACAGAGCTTGTGGCTGCAGGCCCAGAAAGTGTCCCCTGTCTGCAGTCACACGGGCTGCAAGCTGCCGACTAGGGAGGACAGGGAGGACAGGGACGTTTTTTTCTCATTGCCTCTCCCGCTTCCCCAGCCACACGGCCTTCGGGGTAGCTGCCTAAGGCCTGCGCCCTGGGCTGTCCACTCAGATCAAGGGTCGTCCAGGCCTGCGGGCCTCGTGGCACCAGGCAGCCTGCAGTTCCCCCGCCGCCCCTTCCAGTCCCTCTGTCCCTTCCCAGAAGAAGGCATGTCGAGACCAACAAAGATGTCAGAGTTACATGGAAGGCGTTTCCCTAACCTGTGCATCCAGGAAAGCCCACGTTTCCTCTTGGAAAAAAACTGAATGTAGTCACTGCCCGGGATTATGAGTTATTATCCATTGTGATCACGGTGTCAAGGCTGTGTGGCTTTGTGGGGCTGGCTTTCCAGGGCGCACAGAACTCGTGCCTGCTGTTTCAGTTAATAACTTAATAGAGAGAGAGGAGGCGTTTGCACTCAGCCACGTAAATCCCGCTTTCTACAGATGCCCGACAGCAGGAAGCAAGGCGTCCTGGAAGTGCTGCCGGAGCCGTGGCATCTGGTCCCCTGCCCCTCTCTCTCTCTCTCTCTCTCTCTCTCTCTCTCTCTCTCTCTCAGGGCCC